CATATCTTTAAAATAAAAAAAAATATTTTTAACTTAATTTTTATGAGATGCGAGAAAATTGTAAGTGTTGCCTAACTTATGAATAATAGTATATTTCTTGCAGAAAGATTGTATCTTTTTTTCTATATATCGTATGACAATGTAACAAAAATTTCTGTATGATAATTTTGAAATATTCTGTACTTACATTGACATTCGGGAATAGTTCCGTTCCAAACTCCAGAGGAGGTACAAATTACAGCCGAAGATCCAGATAAAACGTAACCAAAATTGCACTGAAATCTGACGAGATCGCCAAAGTGATGCTGCTCCTAATAAATAAATTCACACATTGAAAAAAAATATTTTCTTGGTGATAATAATAATAATTGCAATAAATATTTACTCGAGCAATGAAAAAAATCGTATTATTTAATTGTTATTTTACCTTGGTTGACAATAATTTTCCATTTTCCGGTGCCGTCAATGGCGGGCACATCACTGGTACGCACGTTTTATTTCTCTGATACAAATCGCCATCCCTTTCGCCAGTTTCTGCCTTCGCCAGGTTAAATCCGGCCGTACCATTGCCTTTATATAGTTCATAGCCCGTGTTACACATGCAGGAGTAACTCCCGGGACTGTTAATGCACTTTTGATGGCAGCCACCGTTCCTGATGGCACATTCGTTAATGTCCGCGCATTCCAATCTGGTGCAACCAACTATCTCTAGCTTTATACACGGTGCACCAACGTAATCCTGTATCCTGAATCTTACGTAGCGAGCCTCGATTGGCATAGGTAGATTCAGGATGGAAAGTGTCGCCTCCGCCATCCTAAACTCCACCGGGGTACCGTCTGGATTTTTGTAATCTATGAAGACGTCCGTCAAATCGTTCGTGTATTGAATTCGCACGGCTGACGCATACGCGATATTCCCATCGATCCTGGCTACGACCTGCGTGCGGAAACCGCGAATAATCGTCGGTGCTTTCATGTCGATCGTCACCCAGTTCGTGCCCCGCTCGATGTTGTTGCCGCACCATCCATCACCGTTATTCAAACGAATACCCTTTGAAAGTATATGAATATTTAATATTATAAAAAGAAAAAAAGGATACGCTGAAAGATTATGAATAGAAAATGTTAATATATCTTACAGTTTTTGTATATCCATTTTCTGAGCTTGAAACAGTGATCGACTCGTCGGGAATACCGCCGTTGATAAGACCAAGATCGCCTATAGGTCGACACTCCATAGTCGGTGCAAAGCCCGACTTGCACTTACAGGTAAACGCACCAGGATTGTTTATGCATTCCGTGGACGCCAGATCGCATTGACTCGATGTGCATTCGTTTATATCTACAGAGGCAAATGAAAGATTGGAAGTAACACCACTCATTTCTCATTATAATAAATAATTTATGTTATAAAATCTACCTTCGCAAGTTGGTACATTATCAAATCGTTGATAAGGACCACATTGTATAATATTTGATCCAGTTAACTTGTATCCTTTATTGCACTGTACCCTAACTTCATCACCAAAGTAATAATCCTTGCCGATATCAACAATAAATCCATTTTTAATCATAGGTAACAACGGACATTTAGCACCTACAATGAGAAAAAAAATGTTATTATATTAATATATTTTACATCAATGTTAAATTAATCTGTAAAGGAGAGTTGCTGAATCATATCAGCCGTCAAAATCGAATCTTATCAGTATTTTATTTTTTTTATTTAATATAAGTAATATTAATGACACACAAAAATATGAAAAAATAAAAAAATAAATAACATAGAAAAAAATTTAATATGTTACATCTTGTTCTGTGTGTACATACTAACAGTATTAAAAAAAATCATTACAATTATCAGATATAATTGATGTTAATTTTTGTTTACTATACTTACGCGAACATGTTGGTACTTTGTCAGACCAGGTACCATTGCTCATACAAAGAATGACGGGATGTCCGCTTCGAACGTAGCCGGGCTCGCATTCGAATCTAACAATCGTGCCGTAACTTCGACCGCCTCCGTTCAAGATGGTTATATTAGCGTGAGGTGCCTCTGGTAGCGGAGCGCATTGAGATGCTGAAAACATAATAATATGCGTATTTTTTCAATACTCTACAAATCTATTCGTTTAATATCGCGTCTATATAATCGTATCGATTGTGAAACTTTTAACAAACCTAAGCAGGATGGTTTCTTTTCCCATCTTCCATCAGCCAAACAAGAAATCTTCTCCGTTGGTCTTCCGGAAGGAAACGCGAATCCCGCGTAACACTGATAGGTCGCCAGTCCTCGGTAAGTAACGTTTGAAGAACCAATTGAGAATCCGTTATCGATTTGAGGTACTGGGCCACAGTACACCTCCTGGCATTTAGGAATATACATAACGGACCAGTTTCCTCCGGGGAGACATACCGTGGAAATCTTAGATTTGCCTGTGGCAAACTCTTGCCCCAATGGGCAGGAGAATGTAACTACTGTGCCGAATGCTGTGTCCCGATTGGACGCCAAAGCTCCCTCGCCGGGTTGCAACAGAGGACAATCTACGATTAATATTTTTTTTTACAATATCAGTATGACTATCATTATTACACATAGATAAATTCATATTAAAATACGACAGAAATATAAAATCATTATATACAACTGATATATAGATATTGCTCTCTTATTTCAAAAATGAGAACGTGTTTTTTTATTATTATTATGATGAATAAATTAAGGGTAAACGTTCTTCTATCAGTCATCAAAAGTCAACTAACTTAATTTCGTAAAACATCGTCAAAAAGAATAGTTAAAAATATTTAAAAAAAAATGGTTTTTAAGAGTCTTGAAATAAATATAATAAATATGACATTTAATCACGTTAAGAATAGATTTTTCTTTATTGTTATTCGATTAATCAATAATTTTCTGTTAGGTCGAAAAGTTCTTTCTCTTTTTTGGGAAGCTTAATCTTTTGAGTTGTGTCCTTTTTGAAGTAAAAGAGCAATATCTTAATAATATAAATATATTATGTAATCATGGTATTTTCTTTACATAACATCAGATGTGAAAATAATGGCTTACCAGCAGAAAACTTAGCCTGCCAGCCGATGTTGCTGTGCAAAGCATCAGAGACGAATCTAACGAGCATTTCTCCGCTTTCCGCGGTGAGCGTGATCTTAGGTCGAGTGTTAGAGGTGAAACCGCTTCCGGAATGCAAGCGTAGACCGTTCGTATTGGAACCATCGTATATCTATCAATTTCCCGCGAAAGAGCGAAAGTTAATAATCTGAACATGCGTGAAGACGTAACGAAACTTTATTACGAAACTTTATATAACATAAACAAACTTACTTGTACGTAGTCGGTTTTGTGAACGGTGAAGTTAGTGAATTTCAATGACAGCGGCCCCCTGTCCGGATTTTTTATTTTGTACAAACATTCCTGATTATTAGGATAATCGTTGAGACCGTAAGATGGTGATTGAACCGTTCCGTTTCTTGCAATGATTGTAGCTTTGCAACCCTGCGTGAAGCGAATACTGAAACCACGCCTGGAATCGCCGAGGCTCGTTTTAAAGTACAAATACAAGTTGTTTCCGGTAGATATGATTACTGTTGGATTGTCCTCCGATTTTCCGGTGAGACGTGCAATCGGTTTGCTCATAGGCGAATCTCCGTCCCTCACAAGAATATAATCCCTATTCGCTTCAAGATCCAAATCCTCAATCTAGAAACGAGAAGTAATTGGATTTCACAGGCACTTTTAATCCTTGTTTAAAAGAATTTTAACGGTGTAGTAATACTTTGACCACCGTGAACTTTTGATTACTAGCGCCATACTATTATTTTTTATCTAATATAATTTTAAGGTAAATTTTTTTTATATTAAAATGCATTTTCTCAATAAAATATGTTTTCTAATAAAAATGTTCGAACAAAATTGACATCTCAAAGTAGAAGAGTTCTCCAGAATATTTGAGATGTCAACTTTGCCGTGAATATATCATATTTTGCATCGATTTAATGTTAAATGGATAAAAGTTCTTCATAGACGTACTTCTAGAGACATTATGCGTCCTGGTTGAGCCTGCAGGATATACAAACACTCCAATCCACCGGGATAATTCTGGGGATATCCCGGGGATATGAGCACTTGTCCTTGCGGCGTCGCTCTGAGGATTCCACCGCAGGCTTGCGGTTCGGTCTTCCACGAGGCACGGAAGCCTTTTCTCTCTACCGAGGCATCGGAGCTGAATTTTATAATCATGAAGTTTGAGGCCGAGACGAAGAGCTTGTTACTGAAATCCTGCTTGCCGGAAAGGGTCGCGAGATTTACAGACTTCTCCTCGGTTCTACCACCTACGAGAATCTGCACTATATCGAAACTCTTCTCGGTCTCGAATTCTTGAAACTGGAACACGAATCGTGACTCATTTTGTAATTCCATTTCAATTATATCGACTTGTGATTGTTACAACGTACTATATATATATATAGCATTAAGCGTGTAGCATTAGCATATTGACAAGGGATATTTATCGAGTAAATAATTCACCTGCAAGAGAATATTATGTCCTTGAGGGCCCTCCAGCGTCCACTTACAATTGCTGAGGGGTGCATATTTATGCGGGTAATTTGGGCTTTCCACGACATCGCCGCTGCTCGCCATATAATACTGGCAGTTAGCCGGGCAGTCCAATTCGTCGGAATAATCGCCGCAGTCGTCCTGCTTGTCACATTTAAACGCCGCGTTGATACACTTGCCATTCGAGCAGTGGAACGAACCTGTGGAGTTATTTCGTCACGGCGGATTATTATTGCGTTCCACGTGAAATATACAGAGAACAGCTTGCATCGGCCGTTACGCGACCGCTTACATCGCTCGTCGCAATTTACGTGAACGGACTTACCGGAAGGACAGGCGTCGGCACGACACATGAAAGGAAGAAGCGACTCGCATGTGGTCAATTCCCACGTTTGCTGGTTATCCGTCAAGGCGACGTCCACGCATTCGCCTGATAGCGGATTCGGTTGCTTAGACGCCCAGAAACCTACATTTTTGCCAACAATATAAACAATATTTAGAGGGATCGTATTAAAAAACGTACGTAAAAAAAATCCTATAATTTTATTTTAAACAATGGCGATGATCTTTATTGATCTCGAAGATTGATTTTTTCAAAAATTAATTTTACTATTAATTTTATCATTTTTTTTTTATTCACTCTCCTCTAAATACAATCATATAATCATACAATTTATGTCTAAGATATTATTTTGCAAAAGAATTAGGGGAAAAAAAATAATTGGATATTAAAATAATCTACCCTATATATATATATAATAGAAAGAATAATTAAATGATTTTAATAATAGTCTGTTAACAATACGAATGTCTCAACTACTGCATACTTATGGCAAGGCATTGCCTCGATTTGGTCGTACATACATCCTTACTTAAGTAATTACATCTGTTGCTAGCGATACATAGTTAAGCTCAAGCATAATTAATAGTGCGGTTTAGTAGACGTATACAAATGCGTTAGACGAGGAAATTGCAGTTTGCAGCAAACCGACAAGAAACGACGTCTGGGTATTGTTGTGGGAAAAGTGTGCCTTCGTATGCGAGTTCCGTGTTTCCGTGACCCTGATAGAAACTGGCCCCGTGTGTATGCGAGGTCAAGCTTTGTGCGAAACGACCGCGTCACGATTATCAACCACTTAATTTCATAATACGTTCGTAATATGTTAAGAAATTTTTACCCGAACACAAAGACGAAGATTTTATTATTATTTTTCGTATTGCATACATCGATATTTAGATGAATTCATAAATTTTTAATTTCTAACAATTCTTGCTGTCTTAAAAAAATGCAGATATCTTTTACATCTCAGACTTTGTAATCAATTTAATTTTTGCGCAAAATAGTGAAGATTGACACTTAGTTTTTGACTAATTAATCCTTCGGTGTCAGTCTCGATGTGGCATACTCGACCCTTTTTTTCGAAAAAAAAAAAAAAGATTCTACTTGACATTTTTGTTTACTTTATTGCTTGTAACTTTTTTACTAATGAAGATACATGTATAATATTTATGATATCGTTAAGCCGCATACGATACTCGTTTTCTTTCTTGATTGCTAGTTGGATTAGATTCTTGTTATCGTATTGATTGCGATATTGGCACTGTTAGAAATTTTAATCCAGCTAGCAACCCAGAAAGAAAGCAAGCATCGTGTACCGCCCACTTTACATTTCTTAATATACACAACATTTCGATTAAAAAGAAATTAATATTATTAAATTGCTTGTCAATTTGATTTGTGATGTTATTATCTCAATTTGGCTTATAATTGCGTTTCAAGATTGAAAATAATTTTGGCGGAATATATATAAACTCACACAAAAAATATTATCTAAGCACTAAAATCCTTAGACTGTCGAGGCTTTAGTTATTCAGTTTTATACTCACATTTGCGGTTTTAAAATACTTTGTGAAAAAAATTTGTTACAATATGTTCATTTTTATGAAAGTTATAAGCAGCCAAAGTTTGGATTGGATACGTCATATGCATTACACAGTGTGCCACACCCATGACAAAAAGATATAGTATGGCACTGAAGAGTTAATGACATGAAAATGAGATTGAAAATGATTTTAGCAGAATTGAAAGTTAAGAAAAATGACAAGCTAGAGATCATATTTTTGAATCGATATCGAATAAATACTGTGATATTGAGAATTGAGCATTTGTAACTTATAGAATTTTCATTCCCTTCACTTCGAGAGTCGCATTTGATAACTGCATCACGCGAAATGTCGGTCAAGGTCTCTTAAGCAGTCGATCGTTAATGGCGAAGAGCGCGAGTCGCACTCAAGAGACAGATAAAAAAAAAAGGAAGAAGAGTGGTAGAGAAATTGCACAGGATGCGTTCGGTTACGGGATCTGCTCTCGCAGAATGTGCAGTGTGGACGTCTGCAGATCAAATGAAACGGAATTGCGTACGAACCGGCGTATTGCGAGACGAGCATTCCCGCGGCAGATTCAAGTGTGTTGGTACGTAAGTAGTCGAGCGAAGCGAGACCCAGCCAGTAACGATCCAAATGCCGGCCGATCATGTTCGCCGACATGTTGTTCTCGCTGTACGATTCCACCACCATCAGTTCGCTCCCGTATCTGCAAAAAACCGTCAATACTATCAGTGACTCATCTTACAATAGAGCATAATCGAGAAGAATGAGACAAATAGAATTTCTTTTATCTCGGGAAATAAGATTCATCGGTATTCATAAGCCGTTTTTATTTCAAGATCGTCTTAAATAATGTCTTAAGATGCTAATACAGTTTTGTGATTTGTTTAAATAAACTGATGGATTTGAAACGAATCGCAGCTGTATTAATATTTTAATAAAAGACATTACTTAACTCTAACGCTATACTTAACTGAAATGCTATCGACATTGAATGATACAGCTATCGTTACGTTAATTTCACTTTCTTAATTAACGCAACACAAAATTTTTATACACATCACACTTTTAATGGCAAAGTATTTATAATCTAGATTTTCTAAATTTAATTAATTTTATTATCAACTTAAAAAAGGAAAGAAGAAATAAGCACTATCAAATTCAATCTTGAAATGACCAATTTCATCATATCTAATAACATAAAATGACACAAAATTGTTCAAAAATTCAAAATCATTTTTCGCACTGTCTGTTATAATACTGACTATTATAATAGATTCAAACTATATATAATATTCATAATACATATAACGCACTGTTAAAAAATCTACATTTAGTGTCAATTAAATTTAATCTAATTTGAATCGCCATGTTCCTATTCAATGTATCACTGTTTTGTACTAAAAAAATGCAGTTAAACAGTTTAAATTGAGTTAAATTTAACACTATAGATTTAACAGCGTAGATTGAATATTTAAAGCTTATCCTATATCGTTCTCTTTTAGTACTTGTGGCAGATCAAACTCTTTTTGACGACCATTAATTGGCATAGCTTAGCTCAATGATCTTTTTCATTTGTATGTAAAATTTACATCAATAACGTTTTAATATTGAGATGATCTTAAAATAAGAGAACTATTTTCTGCAGCTAAACTAGTGGTCTTTTGGAATTTGGAAAAGAATAGATACATATTTGGCGAAAACAAGAAAGAAAGTTCCATTATAGTTTAGAAATAAAAAAACAGACTTAAAAACTATAATATATGGACCATGTGTTTATTTTAATGAAAAAGATTATATTCTATAAAAGTCAAATCTTAAATGTTTATATAATTTATAACGAAAAGGAAAGATTGATAGCGCCTTACCTCCTGCATAATTCCGCCGCTTTTTCCCAAACAGTGTATGCCTCGCAGCTCCCATCCTGTGCAAGGAAACATTGCATTAAACTGTCTGTCTTAGATCTAAAGATTGTCTGTGCGCAAAGTTGTAATAATGAGTCGCGAGCACGCAATATTGCTAATGGGATTTATTGGAGCATGTTGTATCGATTATAATTGATTAAAATCTCTAAAATTATTGTAAAGACTGGGATACACTTATACATTTTTATATGCTTTAATTTATCATCATAATCGTAAAACTTTTGTTAGAAATTAGAAAACATTGATATTTATATGGATGCGGGAAGCCTTATTTTAAAGTCTGCAGGCGCTTCCGTACAACCGGATACTTTTAACTATTTTCTGCTGGCAAGCATACAGAAGACAGGAAAGGCGGTTAATCGGTGACCTGCACAGTCCGCACTGACAGCGACACAACGGCCTCAATTGTTTTTAGTGCACGATGTATCTTAAGGGGTTGATTGAAGTCGAAAAGAATCTCATGAAATAGTGAAATTAAGTAGCTCATTGACAAAAATCATTATCGTTTGAAATTTTTTGGCGAGAATGAAAAAACTTGTATAGCTAATGTTTCTCATTAAATCTATCAATGAGATTTTCTTTAAAAAAAATTAATGAGGTTCAATGTTTTACTTAGAAAAAAATTGTTTATTTGATTACATAAATCGTTTATTTCACTTAATAATTTAATTGTTTTTATTTCTTTCGTTGGAGAATATACGCATTTAAATTAAATATAATATGTTCGACCTAAGTACATACATTCTTCGTCGAAGGAAATATAGACAAATTAAATTAATTTAGTCAAATGAACAACTTTTTTCTCAGTGAACAAAACGTGTATAGTATGACATGAAAAATACAACTTCTATCTATTAAAATAGAATGCACTTTATTGATTTTGCAACTTGAATAGATAATTTTAGTTGATTTTAGAACAAAATGTCCTAAAAGCTATATTTATTAAATATGACTGATGAATAATTACATTTGAAACAATAATAATTTGGGAATTTAACTTTTTTGCATTTTTTTTTCTTTGTAATAGTAGGGATATAATTTCTTTTGCAATTAAACATATTTTTCTTTCTTAATTTTAGAGTTTGTAATTGTTTCAGCATACTCAAGCAGAATAACAAGTCATTATGATATCAAAATGTTGCCAAAGTGATCACTAAAAGTCATTTTTTAATAATTTCCGATTTATTTTAATGTCATTTTGACGTTATCGTGACTTGTTGTTCTGCTTAAGTACTTTTTAAAATTAATTTGTAACCAAGGAGTTAAGAAATTTAGAAATGCCAATATCTAATTTTGTTATGTTTTTGGATATAACTATATCGACTACTCGATTCATAACGATAACAGTTTAACGAGTATTTATACAATCATCAATAATCTAGTTTAATTTCTCTGTCAAACTGCTAATATTTTTTTTATGGCAGCCAGATTATCTTAATATCCTCGATACATATAATTTATATTTATCTGATTCACAAAGTTTTCTCAAATCTGATTAGTCGGAGAGTAATTTGATGCGTTTGCTCACTCGGCTGAGAAATTGTATAATATCAAAATAATTTTCTGCATTGATCGATGTGGATATCGTAAAAAGCTTGTATCCAGATTGCTCCCGGCTCAAGCTTCTATTTCACGGCATGTCGTACATCGTTCGAGGATGCTCGTCGAGTTTCCGCGAACTCGATTCGTGTCAGTGGTTCGATCAAAGTAAACCACCTCGTCAGGATCTTGTTGTATAACAAACGATATTGTATTTTGCAGAATCTCTGAACAAGCTATGTAAATGAGACGCTATACTAATGTTTCGATCCATGAGACGGTATAACATTTCGCAGTTATCTAAGAATACAATAGAGCGAGCGCGTAACAGCGTATTTCATTGTTCAGAAAATAATGATGCTACCAGGTAGAACTGACTTATTCTCTAACTTTAAATGGACAATATAAAAAAGAATTACCTATTTCTAATTATTCAACTCACGGCTATTTACTGACGATTTCTACTTGTCATTAAATGGTGTCAATGATTGATCAAAGTAAATTATATCTATTAGTATGGTATTTTTTGCAATAAAATTTTTTGTAGTATTTATTTTTTGAACTATTAAGATACTTTATTCTAAAGTGTTTAGCATCGTTATTAAATTGACGATCAATGGAATTTATGGTATTATTTTCAGATTTAATTTATAATATTGCATTTCAAGTTCGACGAACAGAATCAGCGTGTAATTTGAAGAATTAAAAAAAAAAATTTTTAAACCTACATATAGTATATTACGAAGTGCTAAAGTTCATTTGAATATATTAGAATTTCTCCTATTTGTGTTATTCATTTATTGGTGCATTTTTCCTCTTATTAAAATAATTAATTAATTATTCTGTCGATCTTTCACACAATTTTACAACCATTATGTCCGTTTCTATCATATGTAAATTTACTTTAATCTTGGTACAACTTACTTTTCTTCTTCTAATTCTTAAAACTAGAAAAAGATGAAGAGTTAGTTGAACCGAGATTAAAGTTAAACTACATTGATAAAAACGAGCACTAACGTCATAAATCTAAATGTGCGTATGCTCAGTGAATTCTTTCGTAGCTGGATATTTTCCAATCGAATCATATTAATCACACACACATTTCTAAATATTTCTATTAAATTATTTTTATAAACAAAATAATGTTTATTATTATATGTTATTCTTCTTCATTTTTGATGGATATTATAAACGTTTATATACGTTTATTTTCCCGCTGCCCCGTATTGGATGAAACCTCGGGAGACCCAATGCGAAATGTAATTAAAGTTGTTTTGCATTTCGCTAAAACACGCAAGTTGCGTGAAAGAGAAACGAGACGCAGCATCACTCAGAGTCATGTTGCTGATGCAGTTGGTGCTGGATTATTCGCTGGGAGAGACTCGATGACGACCTTCCTTTCTTTCAAAAGGTCAAATGGCCATGCACGCACACGGTTCTCTCGACATCCATTAGCATTTCTCGTTCGAAGAACGTGTGTGAAATATTATTTTCTCTCGGCGGTCGAGATGCATGATATTTCACCAATGATCGCGCGTAATATTAATATGATGCATCGCAGTTGATTTTGAAAAATGGAGGAAATCTCGACATTCCGCTATTACAAATTGAAATATAGCGAGCATCTGAAACAAGAATATCTATATCTATAAGTAAAAAATTGTGTATTGTGTTAAGACTGATCCTTGTTAAAATTTTTGTGATTATTTTTTAACACGTTTGAGTGTTAATTTCATATAATATGATCGTGTTATTTGACTATGTATATTGCGTTAAACTCATATTCAACATTTCTTAATGTTAAAATAACAAATGAGTAAGTGAACAGGTAATATAAAAATAATATTTTAAAACGTAAATTCTAAGATAAATAAATAACAAGTACGTATTCATTTAATAAATACATATCATAAATATTAATTATATCAAAAAATATATTTACACAGCTTGTTTACAAACTGTGTCAGCATTATCTTTTTTGTAATCATTTTTTTAATAATATCCATGTTATTTTCTAACATTATTTATCTTATGTTAAATGAACACAAAAATTTGAGTGGACCATTTGGAACATGTGAAATGTGTTTTAAATATAAATTTTTCAACTTTGAATTTTTCTATTTTAAAGAGATAAAGTCAATGGTAACTAAAATCAATGAAATTCAGTATTCAGTGGAATATATTTTAGATGTGAAAGAAACTGGAAACAGAGACTGATGACAAAAGGAAGATGAGCTAGCAAATGAACGATGTAATATTTTGACTCATCACTTGGCACGCGAGTATGCGGAAAGGCGGTCTCTATATCTTCGTTTCCTCGTTTTTTTTTTTTAGTCCAGTAAAAGCCTTCTTGCGAGAAGCGTACGTGGTATGCGCGGATCGCGTAAGAACAGATGAGCGAGCAAGTTGCCGGATGTTCTACTTTTTGGAATCCCGTTCGACGATGCTCTCGGTCGAGTTTCCTCCAAGGTGCAAATGTATAACCGTGGCGTGAACGCGAAAAACCCATGTATATTTTTAGGGCTGTTGTGTGTACGATGGCGTAAATACGACGGCGATGGTTCGATGGTGGCGATGATACTGGGGTGGACGAGAAAGAGGCGATCAAAAGAGAAGATAGAAAAGGGATTCATGAGAACGCCGTTCTATCTTTTCTTCTCTACCTGTATCTAATACCTATAATATCCTTGAATCTGATACGTTCACATGTGCGTCGCGTGGATCGAAAATTTCGGCCTTCAAATAGGGTCTTCAAATATTTCTACCTGCATTAAACACAGCCCTTGCTATCATTAAACGTCATACATTAAGATAAAGTTTGATCTGGCTTGATTTTAAGGTTAGGTTGAATTTTGAGATCCTAATTTGAAATTTAATATTCTTTATTCACATTTTAAAATGTTATATCTCTATATACTTAACATATGGAATGTAAGAATGTTGTACACACGAGAACGAAAGAAATATATTACATGTTTTGCAATGGATTCCAGAATTGCTACTTAAAATGTTAATAAAGTAATATTTATGTAAAGAATGGAGAATTATGTCTTTAGAATATAGATTTTATTCTAATTATTGAATCAACGTAACATATTAGCTACATATTATGTATATTAGCATATGAGATTTATTTTCTGAAATTAAAATTCTATTTTACTTTGATCTACTTTAATTCTGAAAATCCATTTTCTATTCTAATAAATAGAATCATATATATTTATTAGTTCATTTAATATTCAACGATATTTATTCACTTGTTCAATGTTGAACTATATTTGTATAATATTAAATGAAATATATATGAAATATATATTGTAAGTTAAGTGCAATATTAATTTGTTGATATTGTTTAAATTACATGCTATTTATTTGTGTGTGTTGATATCGTTGAATATTAAGCGATATTTAATTCAAAACAAGTTTTTTTTCGGTTTTTCGATGAAATCGTTTCTATTGTGATTTACAACAATCGATGAAATCAAAGGCGTGACCGAATGAATAAATCGTTAATTAATTGAAGTAAGAAAGAACGAGAAAATAGAAAATACGGAAGAAAATAGCTGCACTCGCAATTTTTCAGGCGCACGCAACGACTTATGGCCGACCAACCGGCCCCATATGGTACGTGTAACCTACTTAATTGCATTGGCGAGTAAACGAAGAAAAGTGGAGCAGCGTTACGAATGGCCGAACTCTTATTCTCATTGTCTCTTACAAGATTTATTTATCGGACATGCGCCGTACTTGTTTCAGTTTTGAAACTCTGCTACTGCCAGAGCGAGGCATAATTGTTGGCGGGTAATTTGCGATTCAAAGTGTGCATCTCTGTGTGATTTAAATGTAAGTAACGACGCGTCCTAGTAAAAAAAAAAACGAGGAATCTTTCCTTGATTTCCCTTATTTGCATTGTACTCTGCGCCACGTGTATTGGACGAAGATACAATTGTTTCACGTACAACGCAAGGAATTAATTCTGCAAAACTTGTCACTATCTGCAATAAAAATATTTGCGAATGAGAAACGCCGAGTCAAAATAAACAAGCTCCTTTTTTATTATCGAATTATCACTCGTGCCTTACTCCCATAAAGTTTCTATCGGAGATTATCAAGTGTGATTTATCTTTCTCCGCAGTTAGGCTTTTTATCCAAACAGCGGGCTGTACGGCATTAGCCGTAATGATGTTTACGGTTTCTCAATAATCCTGAAAATCACTTTGCGCTGATTTTATTGCCCAGTTTGTTGTTCTCTCATAACCTACGAAACGAGAGTTTGATTATTCAGTGGAGGCCGATCGCAAAAGTAAGAGTCCTAATGTATAAGTTGACCGTTTCGAGAATGACGATTTCTACGATGTCTCCGGATTAACTTGTGAAGTCCGTTTCAAAAAAATTATTGCAGAGCAACTTTCACATTATCTTGCGTCGTATTGCTATCGATTCGTATAATTTACTCATAAATCAGTCGTCCGATGCTCATTTCTACGAATGTAGATTAACTTTATTCTCGGATTAATTTACTTTTTATCTTGAGAGAGAGAGAGAAAGAGAGAGAGAGAGAGAAAGAGAGAGAGAGAGAGAGAGAGCAGACTTCTTAGAATTATAAATAAATTAAAGTTAATCTAACAATAATGGGAAAGAACGTGAGTCGTTTATGTTAAATTAGAATAATATAAAATATTAATATTAATCTTCAAGAATAAATCTGATATAAATAAATACACTTCTATAACGAATTTAGACTGATGAGAATAAATAGAATTAAATACGAGAATTCCTCTATATTCGGTCAAAACAGAATCTTAATGTTTAAATATTTCTTAATGTTTAAATATTATGTGAATTTATATACATATCTGATTCTGCATATTGCATGCCGGAATATTTTTCGGTTTTGAAGTGTCATCATGAAGAATGTGATCAGAATATACATAAATTGGCATAGAAATATTTAAGCACTAAGATTCTGCTTTAATCGAGTGTAGGAATTTTCATATTTAATTTTAAAAAATCTATGAGAACGGATATTGATGCATAAATTAAATACTTATGTATTTATGTATTATTTACTTTTATTTACTATTATAAAAGTAAGTACAGCCCCATAGAATTGTATCTATCGCGTTATGAATATTTAATTTATGCTCCAACATCGCAGAGGCTCACATAAAGGCATTTATTGTGTTATATTATATTTGAATTTTTTTTACAGTTACTTAAAATTAGCATATCTTTACGTTTAAAATAATTTCTCATACTCTTTTGTAGTAATTTTAAACCGTTCTTTTAAAGAATTATAAATATCTTTAAATTTGTTTGAACAGAGATAAATCTATAAATATAATAATAGATGTAATCTTTCGGAAAGAAAAAGAAAAATTTTAGGTACTATTTGTTGTTTATGTTTTACGCGCCATTAATCTATAAGCGAATGTTATTACTTACCGTTTGGACAGGTAAAGACATTTGTAGTAGGAACCTGCAACACAGAAAGAGCGTTTACTTAACACTAATACTTAACACTTGATCATAAATTGAATGATAATTGATTAGCCGAGTTTTAAATCGCAGTAGCATCGAATACATAGAGTTCGCATATAAAAATTAAAAAAAACTTTTTTAAATTATTGGCTAGTGAGACAAATTATCATTGCAATGAAATTTAACAAGTAATAAGAATATCAAATTATTTTCGTGAACTATTAAAGTTAAAAATAAATTAAAATCAGGAGATAATTAAAAAAAAATCTTTAAATTGTTACAGATGAAAAGAACGATTCTGCTAAAGTATTTAAATTTAGCTGGAAATTTGAAAATGATTTTAAATATTTTATTTCTGATAATTTGACGAAATTATTTTCAGATTGGTATCCAGCTAAATTTTTAGATACTTTAACAAAACTATTCTTTCCATGCATAAAAGGCAAATTGTAATAAATCTTTAGATAATAAAAACATTATATTTGATATAAATGTTTGCTGTAAATATTTCTCATACCAATAGATGGGACTTTGTCAAAAAAGGTAACCGAAATCGTAAATCTTAAATTTTTTCTATGATTGCTTCACACCTGGGAAGCCGGAATTTTTGCGTGTCGGATTTAACTATGGAAAGGTACCAGTTAGACCCAGACATGCTAGACGCATTGTTATCCAGCAGGAGAAAGTGAAGATGCAATCTGTCCAACGATCTTCGTTTCTCGCATCCGTCTCTCAAGAGCACGGAAAGTATCCGCTACTCCATGAGAGCGACTCGTGGACGCGTCCTCGTCCGTATATATTTCGACGTTACTAATGTTGCTATGCGTGTGCGTATCAGTGATATAACGGTGACTACATTCCTGTGAGAGGTGCGAGTTGTACCAGCTGTATAGAAACGCTGCACCCTCGTGCATTCCCGCGCACGAATACGCTTGAAAATCGAGTTTTCGTGCCACATGCAACTCGAAGTCAGAAAGTCATTTCTTTATAACACGTTACGATAAGAATAATTTTACGACGTCATGAAATATGTCATACATTTATTAGGCAATTATGCAATAAAAAGTTGCAAGAGGAACTAAAGGAAAATGTATAATCATTTAAATAAAAAATAAAATAAAATCCATTTTACGAGAGAAAAATTCTAAATTTTGTTTGTGCGTCCGTTCTGCAACGATTTTCCACAAAGATTTATATAGTCTATAACAATCATAATTGCTGGACAGATCGCTAGATTTAAAGAGGAATGTTTCGCTTCTCGAAGGACCTTCGTCAAGGCGTCATGCAGAAACGCTTGCCTCGGACTCGTTACATTCTTGCTACATTCTCTCCTCTCCCTCGTATCGGGCTACCAGTTCTGTAATATAGTTAAAATATTGCATCTGTGTGGAATCGCGCGGCACCTTGACGTGCGTATCGGACACGACGTGTATGTGCGCGCAGGGCGCGCTTGTGTGCACTGAAATTCACTTTCACCTCACATATGCCATATCTCGTGGAAACGAACTTCAGCACCGCTAACTCCTACAGAGAGTCAGCCTCCGCGTCCGCCGACATACCAATTACTTCATGATCCATGGTTGAAACTTGCAAGAATCTCGACTTGTAGGGCTTGTACCGCGCGAGGCTCGCCCTCGCGTGTTTTCTTCTTGACCGCCTCACCCATCGCCCCGGCAGATCGTTGCCGTGCAACTTTTTCTTCATCATAGACAAAATTACCTTCGCCGAGAGTACTTAGATTCTTCGCCTCTAACCGACATGATTATCGACTGCGTTCCGATATTCACTCTCAGTGCTGAAAATCTGTAGTGCACGTAACGATATTATAGATTTTCAATACTACTGGTAGCGAATATCGGAACGTGCAGCATGTTCGAAACTGGTCGGGGTGATTTGATTAAATTTACGCAGGTAATAGAGAGAGCAAGAAAGAGAACAAGTTGTGGACAATAATGGTATCATGAATTGACCAAAATTTCGCAAAAATTGAGTTAAGACAATTCGCCAAAACGTTGCGATTTGTCGGAATAATAAAATTTCTAAATACGAGGGCAAGGTGAAAAGTTCTCGGCCTAACGTAGATGGTACTGCTACAAATAAATGTATTTTTAAAGTAAAAAATTTATTCTTTCACTTTCTAGGCCGAGAACTTTTCACCTTGCCCTTGTATTTATCAAAAATTAAATCAAATTTTGAGATATAAATATTTTATAGATAATCATTTCGCATGGATTTTTTACTTAAAATTTTGCTACGCGGAAAGTGTAATACAGTATTTCATGCTATAATATTTCTACATTATAATTTAAGAATAATTGTGCATTTTTATATACATGGATTAATTTGTTTTCTTTATGCATAATTATATATTTCCAAGTATTTTAAACATACACCTAATTATATATTACAGATATTCTTTTCAATTATTGAATAATTTTTTTCAAATTTAATTTTGCATGTATATGATAAACTAATTCGCTATATTATTATTAATAAAAGATTAATATTTGTACATCTATTTTTGTAAATATGCCTATGTAATTGCAGATTACAAATTTTATTATATAGCAAGATTTTATTATATAGTTTCACAAATTCCTATTAAGAGATAAAAACCAATGATTGAGTCACGGAAAAGGTGAAGGTATATAGACAATTGTTTAATTCGAATTTTTTTTGCAGCTGCACAATGTAGTACGTGCAATATGCGAGATGATCGTGAATATCAGTAGATAATAGACGCAGTTAACTTTTAATCTCTACAGGGGCACTAGGATGTTCAATACCAGCAAATTAGAGGAAAAAAAAACGCAATTTGTCTAAATTAACTGTGATTTGTCTGAATTGTGCTGTACATAAACTAATAAAGTCAAAACACAATATCTGTATTGTTTTCTAACATATTTATCTTATACTAAATGAACCCAAAAATTTAAGTGAACCCTTTGAGACATACCAGCTTGATCAAAAAGTTTCCGGAAGAGACCACCAGGTGATGCTCTGAGTCAGCTGATTTGAGTTCTTTTTTTTGGCTAGATTGTCACATCTATCATTGACATTTTCATCAAATTTTATCGCCATAGCTTGACATTTGTAAAAATTACGCCGTCTTGAGTACATCTACTTCTGCGCGTGTTTTCGATTTTTTACAGTTTTAAAAATGGAGTTGAATTTGCAACAACGAGTTTGCAACAACGAATACCATCCAACAGCCATCGAATTCACCCGATATGGCTCCCTGCGATTTTTTTCTGTTCGATCGAGTCAAAAAACCTGCGGGGAACGCGTTTTAACAGCCGAAAGGAGGTAATGGAAAAATCGAAGACGGCTCTGATGGCTATACCAATAATAGAGTTCCAGAAATGTTTCGAGAGCTGGATCAAGCGCTGGCATAAGTGCGTTGCAGTCGCTGGAGAGTACTTTGAAGGGGACAATATCACTTTTGATGAATAAACTTGTATTTTGAATTTTCTGAATGAATTCCGGAAACTTTTTGATCAAGCTAGTATGTTATATTCGATACAAATTTTCCAACAGTGTATTACAATTAATAATATATGTATACAAAAAAATATCTGAAAAATTAGCTAGATACGTATTTGTTTATTCATTCATTTTTGCACACCTCAAATGTAAATGTCTTTAAATATATAATAAATTAAATTAAATTAAATTAAAATTTTAAAATAATTTTGTTGGACTATAAAAATAACTCTATGACTCAAGTGTGATAATGCTGTAAAAAATTTTGACCTAGTAATCAAAGTCATACACAATTATTTTGATCCAACAAAATTATTTTCAGATCTGTATCTGGCTAATTTTTTAAATATTTTAGCAAAATCTTTCTTTTGTTATAAATAGCATTAAAATATTTAATGAATTTATAAGGCCGAGATGTCCTGGACATCCTACGCAAGTACTTAATGAAGAAGCACGTGGCATACTCTGAAAACATTGAAACTTCGGCTCGATAACGTATATTGAACGCTCACCTGAGACTCCGTTAGCTGAGAATGGCACAAGAGGACGGCGACCCAAACGGTCGCCAATTCTCTTATCAGCATATTCCTGCAACAGACAAGACATTCTACGTGAATGGACGTCGATCTTATACGTCGCACTGCTGTAATTAAACGATCGTAGATATCGTCGGACGGAGTAACGGAGGCGGAGTAACGGATGCGTAATTTTTCTCGAAACTCTCGATTTTTCTCGGAATTTTGCTCGTCGGTGATTGCACGTCATCGGTACATTTAGTGATTAGTGAACGTACGTTTCGTCGCAGCGGATTAGCAATTCTAAGTTCTAAGTTCTAACACGTGAATCGTACTGGTGGAGCGTATAATCATTCAAGAGACGTTTTTTCTTTGCCTTTGTCGAACGTCCGTCATAATCGCGAAAGAACGCGGAAGATATCGTCGTTTCTGTACGCCATCGAATGCACACCCGTTCCCATAAAATTCCTTACGGTTTCTCTCTCTCTCTCTCTCTCTCTCTCTCTCTCTCTCTCTCACTGTGACTGAATTGTGGCACAGAGCGGCTACATACCTCGCCTCGCGTAACTGAATGCCGCGATAACCGTCGCCAGAGAGTCATGAGGATTATTATTGATGACGTTACGCTGCACTGCGCACCTATATCTATTAACCCCGGACTAACAAATCTTATTTTTTTGTCACGCCAACCCCAGCGTGGGGTCATCTGAGCATCATGCTGCTCTTCCGCGTTTATCATATCTCGCAAATATATCGCACCTTTACACTGTGGAATGACAAGTCTAAAAAAGTGGTAAAAAATTCCATCTGAAAAATGGAATGAAACAGTATATTATTGCAATATGCAACTCTTCTTACAGTTTTCTTTTCAAAGTTTTATGATTAAATACCATCCATGTAGTAATCACTTAAAATTTTTTAATGTAATTTTTATATGTGATTAATTTTCTCTCTCTCTCTCTCTCTCTCTCTCTCTCTCTCTCTTTCTCTCTCTCCCTATTTAAAAAGAAAATCTTTAATTTTATTATATCTCCAAAAATAAAATGTCTGTTAATTTTTTTTGTTATCTTAAAACATCAACTTTATAAAAAATCACACTATAACTTTGGCAATAAACTGATAATTAAATAGCACTTCATTAATTGTTCAGAAGAAAAGAAAGAAGAATTGCATTTTGATATTAATTATAAGGATACACCGGATATCCCGCGTGCGCGCGAAAAAGGATTGCTGGCAATATATCTAGTCGAAATTTTATATTGAAATGACATGTATAATGGTACTGATATATTTTTTAGAAATATAATACCGGATATCTGATAAATATCCAGTATTCTTTCTCGGATGTATCCATAGTACATCCCTAATTAATTATTTGTAGCATCATTAAACATAAGTTAATTACAGCTAATCACAAAATTGCTTGTTTCAAATTTCAGATCTAAAAGTAATTTATTATAGATTTAATTTTATTATGATTTTATATTAGACTTTAAAAACTATTCCTATTTTTATTAATGCTATTTTTTTCGTTTTCAATTCTTTTCCATTGACTTTTCTTGAAATACGTCTTGGATACATTTTAGTAAAAAAAGAGATAAAAAGATGTTTGTTCAACCTTCTGGATATGATATAGTTATTGAAAAGCTTGTTTGGAAAACACTTGGAAAATTGAGTACGAACATGATGTATACTTATTAAAATTTCGTTTTTTCCAATTTTCGAGATGCTCCCCAAACACGAACTTGTTAATCGTTTCATCATTTCTTAAGCAAAAAGTCAAAATTTATAAAAAAAAATTGTCTTTTTTAACATTCCTCTTTTTTCAAAAATAACAGCTCTTAGTAGATTCTAAATTAAAAAAAAAAAGAAGCAATGAAAAAACATAATACAGTGATTAAAGCAGAGCATACGTGTATTACATGGATGCGTTTTCCAAGTCGCAAGCAATTGTGGGTAGACGCGTGACGCAACGATCGCGAGGCGCATCGTAGATGAGCGAACTCGTGGGAAGCGCTGGAAAGCGATCTTGTGTGCTTCGCGATGCACCGTATCGTTGGCGTGGCATACGGATCGCGAAAGTTTATTATATTTTGCGGTTCGTACCGTTGTACAGTCGCTTTTATGTAACCAACGCGCCATTGTCCGTCCGTGGACCGTCACAATTGTGCCTCGCGATTAACTGGAGCAAGCGGTCGTGCAATCTGCCACGAGCATCCGCGTTTAATTAGTGGTCGGATAATTAGGCCTCCTCAGTTTCGAAAAATGCCGATTGCGCTGTGGAAACTCGTGGGAGAATTCTTCTTTAATTGTACATGTGATCGTGATCTCTTAAAATTTTGATTACAATAATCGTCGATGAGAAATGCTAAAACTACACTAAAAACTACTCTAAAAAATGTGGGTGTGGATTTAAGAATGTATCAGCACAATCTCTGCAAGAAAGTAATTGGAATTGGAAATTTATTTATTTTCCGTATAAATGAATGTTATACATATATATGTAAAATAATTTAATAAAATTATAATAATATTTATATTTAACAGACAATAATATAACATATTTAACAATACAAAATTATAGTTTAAATGAAAATTTTCTTTTATTTTATATCTTAACTATTTTTTTATTGAAATAATTTTCAATCTACATTTTAAATTGTTGTCAAACTTTCTGCCTTATTTTCCAATACAATAAAAAAAAATCTATAACTTTTTCTTAACCTCTCCATTTTATTAAAAAGTACGTGTAATAAATATCCTTAATACATCATGCGTTGTTTATATATTTCTTACCGTGTTATATAAATACAAGTATCAACATGACATAGATTTAACACCTTAGACATGGATTTTTAATATTATGCCATGGTTTAAAATTCATGATATTAAATCATGTTAATATTTATATCAATATTAATATGTGTGTGTGTGTGTGTGTGTGTGTGTGTGTATGTGGTGAGAATTATAAATACCGCATGTATAATATTAGGTATTATATTAGAGATATTTTTTAACAAAATGAAAAAATTGTGAAAAAGTTATAAATTTTTCTAAAAATAATTTAAAAAATAATTAAATAACGGATTCTTTTATACAATGAAAAAATAATGGCAAAATACAAATGAATCGAACGTACAAAATTGAATTTGTGACATATTAATAGTATTAGTTAATATTGCGCAATATATTATAATATCCGGTGCTGACTCCTAACGCCTGTTTGTATTTTGCCATTATTTTTTTCATTGTATTAATTTAAGGAGTCTATAGATTTTGTATAGATTCTTTTATATTGTATTGGAAGATAATAAAAAAAGTTTGGTAGTAATTTATAACAGAATTTGAATAAAAAATTGTTACAATAAGAAAATGTGTTTCTAAAAATAATTAAGATAAATGAGAATATTTTTATTTAAATGTAGTTAATTAATATAATTAATTAATTATTTAACTAATGGTTAAAATTTGTTAAATACACGTCAATATTTTTTAGATTTTTTTAGAGTAAAATCGAAGAACACAATCAAAGAAGATAACTGTTTTTTTTTTAAGTTATTTTTCTTTTAACTTTCAGGTACTAATCAAGTGTACTGGTTAATAAATTTTTATTCTCATAGATAATGGATCGCTTCCCTGCTGCTTTGATCGTGCCATACTTCTACAATCGTTGTTGAATAGAGGAAGCTAATTCGCGTAAAATGACGAACCGATCGCATGTATCCCCAATGCAAAACCCGTTAGATTTACGTTTGGCAGGAAATATCTTATCGATTAGGACCAACCACGACAAGATTACGATTATTCATGATTACGTCGTCATTGGTAAGAAATCTTTCTGCGGTGAGAGCTAAATGTCTGACATGCCCCCTACTACTCCGTTCGAGATAGTCGATCCTTGACGATTGTAACGGTTTATCAGGGAATCCGGATGCGCGCATTACAACTATATACGTGCACATACATATATATAAATATCTCCTTCAAAGGAACGATTATCCATTTGTATAGGTGCGCAAACGTTGTCCTGTCTTTTACAATTATGATACGATACCGGTAAAATGGAATCGAGCTGATATCCTTCGAGTTACTCTCAAAAAGATTTTGTGGTTGATAGTAAATCAGAGTTCTTAAATTGGTTCGCTTCCTATGGCTTATATTTATTTCTTGTGAACAAATGCGCTTGGACCCGCCAACGCAGTGTAAGTAAAAACAGTGAGTTCATTCTGTGTCGACATCTTTGATCTTTCTGCTAAACGCCAGTTGTTGTTAGTTGTGTGTGAGCACTTATTCCCGTTTCCACCAATGTAGATTAACTTTAATCTCGGTTCAACTTATTCTTCGTCTTTTTCTAAAGACTCTTCGTCTAATTCTAAAGATTAGACTAGATAATCTACGTTGATAGAAATGGGCATTATTAGAACAAAGTTGCTTAATTTTTCTACATAGACTGTAGTATTTGAATAAGAAAACTGATTAGTGAGCATTATTGTTAGTTGTGCAGAACGGTCATGCACAAAGGATGACCATTAACATCATTTTTGACTGAGTGAACCTACTGTTTCTCACTTATACTGTGTCGCCAATAAGAAAATCTCTTGTGTATTAAGCTTTCGAAGCTGACAAAAGGTTTATTGGATCTATTCAATTATAAATCTCTTTATTTAAAATGTTAAAAAAAATATTAATTTTTTTTGTACATTACACCTCCACCCACAAATTTAGATTATTCTTATTAAAATATACTTTTATTCATTTCTTTCTATACAAAATATGTCATTTTAGTTTCTTAAAATTAATTAGTGTTTCTCTTAATTTTATATTTGTGCGCAATAGTGGGCAATAATTTTTGTGCGTAAATGAACTGTCAGCAAATGTGAATGATATAGGTAAACAATATTGTAGGCAATCGATTTGTAGACAAAAGGAACCAAAAGCTCGATGGACACAAGCTTTTAAAATTTTGCTTATGTATAGTAAACTCTCTGTGATAGTATTATATAACAAAGAAAGAGAGCGTGATAATAATCTTAAATTAAAATAATTTTATATTACCGTATATTTTTTATTTAA